CCTTCCTTCCTTCCTTCCTTCCTTCCTTCCTTCCTCCTTCCTTCCTTTCTTTCTCTTCCTTTTTCTCCCTTCCTATCTCTCTAAAATTAATGAAAACATATTTTTAAAAAAATGATTCTCTAGGATATTCTTTATAAACAGTCATATAATCTATATACAAAGAAAGTTTTACTTCTCCCTTTTCAATTGTATGCCTTTTATTTTTCTTGCCTATTTTTGCCCTGGCTAGAATCCTCACAACAAATTGAAAGAGAAGTTATGAGAGCATTTATGTTTGCCTCATTTTTTATCAGATTTCACCATTAAATATATTAGCTATAGGCTTTCCATAGATATCTTTATTGGTTGAGGAAGTTTTCTTCTATTAGTTTGCACAGAGTTTCTGTTGCGAGTGTATGTTAAATTTTGTCGCATGTTCTTTCTGTTATCTGTGAGATATTCTTATATTACTTGTTATTCTTATTTAGCTGGTTAATATGGTGAATTATGTCAGTTGATATTTGAATATTAACCTATCTTTTATGTCTGAGGTAAGTGTTTTTAGTCATTATGTATTACCCTTTTTGTATATTATAGGATTTGATTTGTTAAAATTTTGTTAAGGATTTTTGTATCTATGTTCATGAGGGTGTTGGTTTGTTTTCTTTTTTATTTAATGGGTATTAAGATAATGCTGGCTTTTTGCCATTATGATATTAGCTGTGGGCTTGTCATAGATGGCATTTATTACACTGAGGTATGTTCCCTCTATATCCACTATTGAGTTTTTACATAAATGGATGTTAGATTTTGTCAAATGCTTTTTCTGCATCTATTGAGATGATCATATTATTTTATTTTTCATTTTATTAATGTGATGCATCATGTTGATTTACTTGAAGCTGTTGAATCATTCTTACATCCCTGGGATAAATCTCACTTGAATATGGTAGATGATCCTTTTAATGTATTGTTGAATTCCATTTGTTAATATATATATATATATACTTAAAAACATATATTTATTGATTTCAGAGAGGCGAAAGAGGGGGAGAGAGAGAAATAGAAACATCAATGATGAGAAAGTCATTGATCGGCTGCCTAGCCTGCAACCCAGGCATGTGCCCTGACCGGGAATAGAACCCCGATCTCCTGGATCCTAGGTCGATGCTCAACCGCTGAGCCATGCTTGGCCGGGCACTAATATTTGTTGATGATTTTTGCATCTGTGTTCATCAGGGATATCTGCCTGTAATTTTCTTTTGTTTTGCTGTGAGGGTAATGCTGGCCTTGTAAAATGAGTTTGAAGGCATTTTCTCTTCTTTAGTTTTTTGGAAGAGTTTGAGAAGGATAGGTATTAAGTCTTCTTTGAATATTTGGTAGAATTCACCTGTGAAGACATTTGGTTCTGAACTTTTGTTTGCTGGGAGGTTTTTGTTGTTGTTTTGTTTTGTTTGGTTTTTTAAAATATATCTTTATTGATTTCAGAGAGAGGAAAGGAGGAGAGAGAGATAGAATCATCAAGGACGAGAGAGTCATTAATCAATCAGCTGCTTCCTGCACGCCTCCGACTAGGCATTGGGCTGGCAACCAGGAATCCAAGAGCGATCTCCTGGATCCCAGGGCGATGCTCAACCGCTGAGCCACGCCCGGCCAGGCTGTTTGTTTTGTTTTTACTGATTCAGTCTCCTTACTAGTAATTGGTCTATTCAGATTTATTATTTCTTCATGGTTCAGTCTTGGAAGGTTGCATGTTTTTGGGAATTTATCCATTTTTTCTAGGTTGTCCAATTTGTTGGCATATTACTGTTTATAGTAGTCTTCATAATCTTTCGTATTTCTGTTGTATCAGTTGTAACTTCTTTTTTATTTTGTTTGAGCCCTTGCCTCTCTCAGTGAGTCTTAGCTTTATTATTTATAGCATTATTTTTTACATTATTTATTACTTTTGTCCTCATCACCTTTCAGCCTCTCTCCGCCTCAAATGTAAATGCCAGATGCGCAAAGACTTCATTTGTTTTATTCACCTTGAGTAGTTATTGGCATATATGGGATTCTTTATAAATGTTTCTGAAAGAATTGTACCTCTTTGGTCATTTGATTATTTCCCTTGCCATGGTTTTGTGCAAAGCATTTCCTCACTGATATTACTCACATTGTCCATTTTTTGTTTACATTGTGCTTAGAATAAGCAAATGTCTTAGTAACACTGTAATAGTTGAAAGAGACACTATCATGTCAAACACTTACTAAATTTTGTTTTTTCCTCTCTCTTAGTTTTCAAACAGGACTAATCCAATGGATAAACATCTTGAGGTCCTAATGAATAAGTATGAGTTGTCTCCCCTACCAATAAGTCCTCAGATGTTTGGGTTTGCCGGAAAAGAGCACATGGAAAAATATGGTATGTTAAAAAAAAGTTTTAAGGCTTATTGGTTAATGCATGTTATATACATATTATATAGATGTGATGAGAAACAACAGGCATTTATTACGGATTATATAATATATAAGGATTATATAATATATCCTTATGTATTAGGATATATATGATATAAAATGGTTTTTGCATTAAGTTGAAGAAATAGTCTATATAGAATTTAGTTGTAGAGAATGTATTTATGTATAAGATATTGTATTGGAACTACCTAGAATGCTCTAAAACCAGAAATTGAAATAGGAAAATTAACATAAATCTTGTCTGCTTTAGTTGTGGACTGTAAATTGAGGTTCATTAGTTCTGAAAATGATAATGAGACTTAAAGCTTGCTCTTGGTAATAGGTTTATATAGTCAAATTTTATTCCTAGTAGAAATTTTATTCTTAGTAATAGGTTTTTAACATCAAATTTTATTTTTAGTACTTAGTACATCATCTGTCATTCCATAGTGTTTTATGAGATTTGTCTTTCATGAATGATTTTTATTTTGTAGGTAAACATACTCATTTTTTGACCTATGCTCAGTAATTGGCCTGTGTTAGCCAGTTAAACATGGGATAATGTAGGTAGGATTTCTACTTTTCGTTGATTGTATGACCCCGAACTGGTGCCTTGTTGAGTACTGTGAGATAAGAAAGAAAATTTTCATGCTTGAAAGTTTAGCATTCCTATTTTTTGTTGGAAAAATATCTCAACTTTGATAGCCAAAATCAAGTAATCAGAAAGGAAAAATATCTTCAAGGAAGAATGGTGGGATTGTATAAGGGAGCACTGCCAGTTTTTGGCTATAGAAATTTTTTTTCTTGTACTGATTTCTTACCATTTTTAACTCCGTCTATTCCAATCTGGCTTCCCTCCTTTCTCAAGGCTACTATTGATCGCCATGTTGCTATATCCAGTAAATACTTTTCAAACCTAATTTAATAGACCTCAGCAGCATTAATTCCTTTTGATAACTTTTTTTTGAAGCATTGTCTTCCCTTGGCTTCTGCGACACCTCATTCTGCTGTTTTTTTCTTACCTCTTTGATTATTCCTTGTCCATTTCTTTTTCAATTAAATGATTCATTTAAAACATTATTGAGTTCTCATTATATTTCAGGCACTGGAATGCAGCAGTATGCCAGTCAGCTATTACTGTGTAATAAACCACTCCAAAACTCAGTGATTTTAAACAACAATTATTATTATCGTTTACAAGTTTGTAGATTGACTGGGAACCAGCTGATCTAAGCTGAGCTCAGCTCTTCTTGTCTGGGTTAATCATATGACTATAGGTTGGTTAGAGGCTCTGTTCTAGTCTTATTTGACTGGGTCATATGTCTGTCATCCCCCTTCTGGGACTAGATGGCCAGCCCTGGCATATCCTTTTCATGGTGAAAGCAGAAGCACAAGAGAGTAATCTGCAACATGCAAGTCCTTTTGAGACTTAAGTTGTTGACTAAAGCAAGTCACATGGCAAACTTGGAATCAAGAGATAGGAAAATACACTCTACTTCTTTTGTGGTAGTAAACTGCAAAGTCAGACAGCAAAGGACATCCAGGAGGGAAAAAGAGTTAGATACATTAATGCATTTATTCACAGGCAATAAATAAACAGATGAGATGTGAGGTTTTCGCTTAAATTTCTAGTAGGGGAGAGACAATAATAAGCCATGAAAAAAACTAAGATAATTTCAGATAATTATTAGTCTTGTGAAGAAAATAAAACATGGTAATATACTTGTGGATAGTGGGGAGCAAACTTAGGATAGTCAGTGATGGCCTCTGTTTTGGGAGGCTCCAAGAATAGAATTGGGTGTTTAATTAGTTATATTCTGATTCATCCTACTGATAAGCTTTGTTGAAGACTATTTGGATTAATATTATTGTAGTCCCTCCCATCTTCAGGTTTGGTAAGGGTGCCTTTAATTTTCTAATCCAGTTTTTGGATCCTAGTTATACTAGGTAGAATAGGCCAGTTTTAACTATTTTCATATTATACAGGGTGAGGCAAAAGTAGGTTTACAGGGTTTTTTTGTTTTTTTAAAAAATATATCTTTATTGATGACAGAGAGAGGAAAGGAGAGGGAGAGAGAGAGAGAGATAGAAACATCAATGATGAGAGAGTCATTGATCAAGCCCACAACCGGGCATGTGCCCTGACCAGGAATTGAACCCCAATCGCCTGGATCCTAGGACGACGCTCAACCGCTGAGCCACGCCCGGCCGGGCGGTTTACAGTTTTGAGTACTCTAAACACAGTTTATTCTTGTGTTATTATTTATTAATTATTGTATTATTTTCCATCTGAACAGCTGTAAACCTTCTGTTCCACCCTGTATACCTCTTAGTTGATTCAGTTCATTAAATATACTCAAGTCTAATGATTAAGAAATATTTGTTGAGGGATAAATGTTGACGTCTTCAATACTGACATCTGTGCAAATGGGAAAATGTAGAAATATTTATCAGGACACCGAGTACCATTGCAACATTTGTTCACAAGCAGCAGAAAAACAGTAAGTCACTAATAGATATTTGCTTTCCCTACAGGAACAAAAGCTGAACACTTTGCAAAAATTGGATGGAAAAATCACAAACACTCAGTTAATAACCCGTAAGTATTTCAGATATATGAAATATAGTGAAAATCTGGGTTATCCTGCTGTATAACATGCAACTTTAATACTTGAAGGCTAATGCAAGACCTTAAAGATATTAACCAAAATGTTTTATTTTTTTAACTTTATTTTTCAATTACTGTTTACATTCAATATTATTTTGTATTAGTTTCAGTTGTATAACATAGTGGTTAGGCAATCATATACTTTACAAAGTGATTCCCCTGATATTTCAAGTACCTACCTGGTACCATACATAGTTATTACACTATTATTGACTATATTCCCTATGTATTTTTTTCCTTATAAAACCCTTGTGCCAAGTAAACTTTTGAATTCTTTTTATTTCAGTTTTTGGTCTGTTTATATTTAGAAAACCATTGAAGCTTAATGACTCTTTTAAGAAAGAATGTGAATGACTGGTATTAAAAGATGTAATTGGTCATACATTGCAATTCTAGTGAATAAAATTTATTGTAATAATTTTAGTTGGAAATAACCAGTCACCATTTTAAGCCATTCCTTAAAATTTCTCTTAGTTCATTTTGATCAACTAAAACATTTGTGAAATGCATATTGGTAACCTTTTTAATTATTTTATATGAAATTATTTGTATTACTTTAGTAATGCATTTTAATTATGCTAGTAATTAATTCATTATCTCTTACTCTGGTAAAATAATATGGTCATTTATATACTAAAAAATAATCTAAAGTAAAATTACATCATGTGTATTACACACATCATTAATCTTTGAATTTCCTAGTGCCTAGCACAGTGCCTGGCACATAGCATGTACTTAGTGGTTGCTCAATAAAACTGGTTTACTGACAATTGAATTAGTGCCACATAACTAGAATCTGTACAAAAGCAATACCACCAGGTAATAAAAGAATAATAGCTAGCTTTATTAAATGCCAGCTCTGTGTCACTGTGCTAGGTACTTTTATATACATTTAATCCTCTCAAGGACCCTATCAGGTAGATATTTTTATTCTCATTTTATAGATGAGGAAAACGAGGCTTACAGAAATTAGGGAACTTGCTCAGGATCATTCTAAGTAGTGACAAAATAATGTTTGTATTTTTTGTCTCCTTAGATTATTAACTCTTTGAGGGGAAGAGCCATCTGTTATCTTTAATGCATAGCCCAGAACTAGGAATATAATAGTGGCTTAGTAAATTGTTTCTGAATTATTGAACAAATTTTGCCATGTTTACTAAACATAAAACCATGACAAGGAACATTTTATACCATAAGTAGATTATTCCCACATATTCCTAGTACCCGTTGTTCGTTCTCTCATTCTCCTAATTTTAAATTGATGTTTGCATTTAGAGAATACCTAATTAACAAATATCAAATCCCACGCTCTAGATCTAAGGGTATTTTGTGAAATATCTAAGGGTATTGCCGTTCTACTTTGCCAGTCTTAGTTCTTGCTACTTCCCTGGATATTCCCAGTCCCTAGCCTCACTAGATTACTTGGTTTTTCCTAAATGTACCACATAAGACCTGGTTCTGTGTTTTCACTTATGCTGTTAGCTCTCCCTGGAATATCTAAGTGACTATGTCTATGTCCCCAGTGCCTAGCACAGGATCTGGTATAAATAAGGTATTTTTTGAAAGTTGGTGATGGTTAAAGTTAACTTTAAAGGCAAAGGTGCAGACACTTATGTAGATACTAGGTATATAGGCTCTACTTCTGACATTTGAATTAATTATTAGTTTCCACACCAGTTGAAGTTTACTTTTAGAAACTCCCTTATGATGTCCATTGCTGCTGCTCTTTTCACCAGAGCAATATCTGCAATCATCTGATTATATTGTTAGAGGAGCCAAAGGGAATAAAAGTGAATTTTTTCTTTGCAGTGATCAGAAAGGAAATGTGTTTTGAAGAATGCAGATAGTTTATTATAGGTTTTGTATGTTTATTTAAGAACTCCATTAGCCTTCATTAAATGTAATTGCATAATATCATTACCACAAAAGTTGGCTGAATTGCAAGACATTTAATTTTGCTTCTATGGAACTAGCATTCCATAATTCCCCAGGAAAAAGAAACGGTACTGTATTTTAACCTGCAGCTGGCCTCACACCATCTGGGTGTACTGTAGTTCAGTTGTGGCACTAAGTACCTGGAGTTAACGCAAGACACCATGAGTTAAGGACTCAGTCCTCCACATAGGACGGCCCTCTCAGGTCAGATGCGGGCTGCAAGTAGGTCCTCGGGCCATATATACTTTTGACCAAGTGGCTATAAATTCAGGGGTTCCGATGACTCTATGAGGTACAGTAATTTACTGGAACGACTCATGGAACTTAGAAAAGTGCTGTATTTATGATTGCAGTACAGATGGTTCCCAACTAATGATTGTTCGACTTATGGTTTTTGTACTTTACCATGGTGTGGAAGTGATACACATTCAGTAGAAACCGGCTGGGCTAAGCTATTATGCTCAGTTGGTTAAATGCATTTTTGATGTATGGTATTTTCAACTTACAGTGGGTTTACTGGGATGTGATGCCATTGTAAGTTAAGGAGCATCTGTAATTATTATAAAGGATACAACTCAGGAACAGCCAAATAAATAGGCACATAGGGTGAGGTCTGGGAGGGTTTTTGTTGTTGTATTTTTTAAAATATATTTTTATTGATTTCAGAGAGAGGAAGGGAGAGGGAGAGAGGGAGATAGAAACATCAATGGTAAGAGAGTCATTGATCAGTTGCCTCCTGCACACTCCCTGCTGGGGACTGAGCCTGAAACCTGTGCATGCTCCCTGACCAGGAGTCGAACAGGGATCTCCTGGATCATAGGTTTGATGCTCAACCACTGAGCCACGCCAGCTGGGCTGGGAGGGTCCTTAATGCAGAGCTCCCAAGGCCACTCCCCCATGGAGTCAGGGCATTCACCATCCCAGAATTTCAAGGTGCTCACCAACCAGGAAGCCCCACCAAATTCAGTGTTCATAGTTTTTATGGGGGCTTCATTATTCAGGCACACTCAATTAAATCATTGGCCTTGTGATTGAACTCAATCTCCAGCCCCCCTCTTCTCCCTGGGGTCAAACTGGCTGAAAAGTCCCAACCCTGCATTCACATGGTTAGTCTCTTTCTGGTGAGCAACCCCTGTGTCTTTCCTGCCCCAACAAGAGGGCCATAAGATTTACCTTATTAGCATAATGAAGACACTTTTATCACTCAGGAAATGCCAAGGGTTTTAGAAGCTCCATGATGAGAACCCAGGACAAAAATTAGTCAAATTTTTTATTGTGTAGCATATAGTATTTTGAAGTTAGGATTTTAAAAAAATTCAATTCAAACTTATTTATTAAATGTTGAAACTATAAAAGTCTGTCTTTTACTTGTGAAAAGAATACCTACATATTATTCTTTCTTTAACTTCTGGACCAGAAGATCTTCAACAAAAAAAATTGTAATTGCTACCTAACATTCTATAACTACTTATTTTGCATTTAGGTATTCCCAGTTCCAAAAGGAATACAGTTTAGATGAAGTGATGACTTCTCGAAAAGTTTTTGATTTTCTGACTGTCTTACAATGTTGGTAAGAAAAACATTTAAATATTTGAAGTAATTACTCTCCTCTCCCCCCCTTGGGTAAACCTTAGGCTCTGTATCTGAGTATATCTTTACTGTATCTATTTCTATAGAACTACCAATGTGTTATCGGTAGGTGTCCTCCATATCCCCACCTGTTGCTGGTGGAAGTGGGCTTCTTGCCATGTCACAAGAAAAGGAATTTTCTGAGACTCACATGGGAGAATAAGTGATATTTATTTGTGTGGGATTAGACCCCTGAGTTCCGAAGGTCCCATCTCCCTCTGTCCCTCCAAGGAAAAAGTCCAGCTGTGTCTTCAGAGCTAGGATTAAAGTCACTGTCCAGAGCCTCTGTTCCATATTTGCACAGTCCAGTCCAGCATCAGGCTGGCTTAGTTTATGTTTCCAGCTGCAGTTCATTGTGTGTGGGGTCCATATGGCCATGGGCTATGCGGCTTCTAGGGTCACATGGCTATGGAGGGAACATGGGCAAGTGCAAGGAAGTAGGAGCACAACCAGAGGAAAAAGAGAGAGGATTCCTTTGCAGATTTTAACCTAAGATTTTGCACCCTTCCGGTAGCTCCACTCCCTTTAGCCAGTTATCTTTGTTCCAGGCTAGATTGATAGGCAAGCACCTTCCCTATGTCACCCCAACTTTACTGTACATGCATCCATTTCCCCCTTTGTCCAGTCCATTCCCCCAGTGATCTGCAGGGAATTGACTAGTAGTTCCCTGGGGAGTGTGAAATTGCAGCTTCCTGGTGAAGCTGCCCAGATGGCTATGCTCATAATTTATGGCCTTCCCTTTGCTCCTTATTATTATTAATAACTAGCTAATTACAACAATAACAAATGTAGTCCTCACTTTGGCGTACCATTACTTCCTTCTCCTGCCTAGAGACAGACTATCTCTTCTCTTGGAAAATTATATATTTTATTTCCTTCTCTCATGACTTTCTACCTACTTTATTTTAAGTGCATTTATTCATTTAAATGTGAATTAGGAGACCAGTGGAGTCCCAAGATTTTTCCCTTGAGCATTTTGTTTTCTCTGCTGTATATTTCTATCTACTATAGGAAATTTTACTCTATCGTAGTAGCTAAGAGTAAACATAAAACCAGAAAAAAATCATAGCTCTAATAATGATAATAGTTGCATCTTGAAAATTGCTTGACAATATTTACCTCCTAGAAGACTGAGTTAGTACTGTATAGGTCCTGCCTGTGCCTAGTTATCACCCGGCTGTGCCTTGGCGATACTGGCTGGGATGCAAGTGAACAAGTGGGGTCAGCTTTTATCTGTTAGAATATGAGGGTCTGCCCATTTATAAAATCCAGCTGAACTTGCAGAAGGCTTCTGTGTTTGTCAGCTTCCTTCACAGCTTACTTTAAGGAAAAGATCTATTTTGAGGAGATCTCAAGAGTCTTAACCAAAGCATTGACTTTCTGGTATCCTCTATCCTATCCTTTCCCAGTTTTCAAAAGGATTCCAAGACTGAGTTATTTGGGAGATAGCAGAGTTAAAGCTAGTTAGGCCTGTGGTAGAATCTGTATTGTACTGGGATAGGAATAACCTTGTGTACTTCTCAGAAGTCACTAGAAGATGCTTTATGTATCTACAGAAGCAAATCTAGATTTCTTTGCAATAAGAATTTTTTGGGAGAAATTCTTAGAGACCAGGCAGGGACTGACAGCATTTCAGTTCTTGATAGAGGTTTGGCCCTCAGGTGGGAAGCAAGTGTAAGATTTAACTGTAGATATCACAAAGAAGGCCATCAGTGACCATCAAGTGTACTCAGCCTTTCTTCCGGGAAAGAACTCCTAGTCTGAAATCTTAGGATTGAGGTGGACCAGGTGTAAATAATTATTTTTACCTCCTTTTAGTCCCACTTCAGATGGTGCTGCAGCAGCAATTTTGGCTAGTGAAGAATTTGTAAAGAAGCATGGTCTTCAGTCCAAAGCTGTGGAAATTCTGGCACAGGAGATGATGACTGATTTGCCAAGCTCATTTGAAGAAAATAGTGTTATTAAAATGGTACATCTAAAATTCTGTTTTATTCATTAATCAAGGGATTTCTGCCTACAGATTTTAAGGTGACATGTTGTTATTGGCTCTGGATGTAATTTATTTGAAAAACTAGAAAATCTAATATAACCTATCCTTAAGAATCTGTTGGAGGAAAATAACTGATGAGAACATATGCTTCCTGTGATAGAGCCGTGGATCATTATATGATCACTTTTAACTTACTAGATGTGCTATTTATTTATTGTTTGAATTGGCTAAATATGCTCAGAACTGCAATATTACAGAGTTAAGGAAAAAACAAAGATGTTTTCAGTGAACTTTCTTAATGCTTCAAAAATCCTGATGGAAGATTAAGCACAGAATGGAGAAAGTAAAAAAGATGGGGTTTCAGACCTAGAGTTAGTTGAGTATTTGAAGATACATACACACAATACACACATACATATGTATAAAATATAGGCATATATACATATAAACACACATATAAACAATCATATACTAACCTACAGTTGACAAAATGATTTTACAGCAATGCTTTGAATTTGAAAACGTTCCTATAACTTGCCCAAAATCACAAAGCTAAGGTGCTAGGGTGTGGTAGAGGTGGAACCTCTACTTAGGTTTTCTGATTATAGTACATTTTCCATTATGCCAAAATTTTATTCTTTGAAGAAAAGTTCAGTTTGTTTGAGACCAAAGAGGTGGTAAGAGCATGGATTTTGGAAAAATGTTTTGAATCCCATATGATCTTCTAAAAGAAGATTGTTTATTTTCATATAAAAATTCCCTCATTATTTTTCAGTGTGTCTGAATCATAATGATCTGTTGATAAATCTCTCCAACCTGTTGACCACAATGATACATTGTAGATTGGTAGAGTTTTTATAACTTAACATGAGATGTGGCCTGAAGGATTAAAAGCATTTTTATATATCTTGTTTGAAATTCTGTCCTTAGACTATCAGATTTAATATGTATATTTTCCCTCTTGGGTATCCTTTTATTTGGACTTTCTGTATAAAATAGAATCAACAGATATTTCAGTATGTGTGGTCAATTCTCAGCTATTAAGTTTATGCCTATTAATTTTATAATTCTTATATAAAAGTCCCACTTTTGATGCCCTTTATTTATTTATATATGATTTTGGTTTTAGATTGGCTTTGATATGAGTAAAGAAGCTGCCAGAAAGTGCTATGAGAAATCTGGCCTGAGACCAAGTGATATTGATGTAATAGAACTTCATGATTGCTTTTCTTCCAACGAACTCCTTACTTATGAAGCCTTGGGACTCTGTCCAGTAGGTAATGTCTTTCATGAGATGCATATTAACTTAGTTTCTCTGAGAAAATTTCATTTTGACCATTAAACAAAAGAATTCATTAATTGCTTTGCCCTCCAGATTGGTCTGCCACACTGTGCAAAGTGAGTGCCAACACTGAGATAACAGGGGTACACATAATTTGTATTATGCAAATCAGGGATACTTACAATGTTCTGTTAAGTGGGGGAAAGAGGATATAAAATTACATCTGTAATTCCAACTATTTCAAATTGTGTGTGAAGACTTCAGAAAGGAAAATGAAAAAATAGTTTGTGGGATCTGGAGGATTTTTTTTTTTAAATTTTAAAGTAGTTGTACTATTTTCCATTACTACTAGCAGTGTATGAGAGCTTTAGTTGCTTTACATTCTTACCAGTACTTGATAGGATCAGTTCTTAAAATTTTAGCCATTCTAAAGAGTATGTAGTGTGTCTTATTTTCATAGCTCTGATGACTAATGATGTTAGCATCTTTTCATGTGCATGTTGGTCATTCATATACCTTCTTTTGTGAAGTGTCCAGAACTTTTGCCCTTTGATTGGGTCATTTGCCTTCTTTATTGAGTTGTAAGAATATATACATAAATTCTGGATACAAGTCATTTGTCTGATATGTGTATGTCATGAACATTTTTTCCCAGGCTTGCCTTTTTGTTTTATAAATAGTGTTGTTTGAAGAACAGATTTTAAAAATTTTGATGAATTACAAATTATCAATAATTTTAATGGTTCATGGTTTTTTGTATTCTAAGAAACTTCTATCTCAAGGTTATAAAGATTTTCTTCTATTTTTATTCTAAATCTATAGAATTAGATTTTGTATTTAAGTATATAATCCATTTTGAGTAAATTTTTTGATGGTGTAAGATAAAGGTCGATACTCATATTTTTTATTTTGTACACATATCCAGCACTATTTGCTGAAAAGACTTTTCTCTCCTCATTGAATTGCATTGGCACCTTTTTAAAATGAGTTTTTATTGATTTTTTTAGAGAGAGAGAGAGAAAGACAACGATGCGAGAAACATCACTCGGTTGCCTCCCATACCCATCCCTACCAGGAACCAAACCCACAACTTGGGCATGTGCCCTGACTGGGAACTGAACCGGTGACCTTTTGGTGTATAGGATGATGCTCAGCCAACTGAGCCACACCAGCCTGGGCTGATCTACATTCTTAACTTTTCACCAATGCCAAATTATTTTGGCTACTGTGCTTACATTATACAGTATTATAATGTATAGCAAGTCTTGAAATCAAATAGGGCAAGTTCTCCAACTTTATTCTTTTTTTAAAAAACTTTTTATTATTTATTGATTGATTTCCTCACCCAAGGATATGCTTTTTATTGATTTTAGAGAGAGGGACGGAGGGGGGGGAGAGGGAGAGAGAGAGAGAAACATTGATTGGCCGCATCTTACATGGGCCCTGACCAGGGATCAAACCCGCAACCCAGATATGTGCCCTGACTGGGAGTCCAACCTGCCACCTTTTAGTGTAGGGGATGACGCTCCAACCAAATGAGCCACACTGGCCAGGGCCAATTTTGTTCTTTTCAAAAATCATTTTGGTTATTTTAGGTCCTATACATTTCCATGTACATGTTAGAATTAGTTTGTCAATTTCTATAAAAATGCAGCAACAAAACGCTTGCTGGACTTTTCACTGGGAGTTCATTGAATCTACAGATCCATTTAGAGACAATTTTGAATCTTCCAATCCATTAGATGGTATGGGTTTCCATTTAGCTTTCCTTTTTTGTTAGAGGTAGTGTTCTATACACTGAAGAAAATGGAAACACTAACTCAAAAAGATATATGCACCCCTATGTTCACTGCAGCATTATTTACAATAGCTAAAATATGGAAACAATTTAAATGTCCATTGACAGGTGAATGGATAAAGGTGAATGGATGTATCTATATATATAATGGAATATTATTTAAATTAATAATAATATTATTATTGTTAAAAAGAATGAAAATCTTGCCATTTACAACAAGATGAATGGACCTTGAGGGCATTATGCTAAGTGAGTAAGTCAAAGAAAGACAAATACCATATGATCTCACTTAAATGAGATCTCAGTTTATGGAATCTGAAAAAAAGAAAAACCCAAGCTCCTATATACACAGAACACATCAGTGGTTGCCAGAGGCAAGGGGGGGGGGGGGCTAGGCAAAA